TGGAAATGACACTGTTTTCCATGGTGCTGTGAGACCTTTGCTTGTTTGAATGTTTGTCATCCTCACTGATGCTGCATGTTAGTATGAGCTGTGCATTTTGGTGCTTTAAATAATCACAAGAAAACAGTACAAAATATGCAGTTGTGCTTCTCTTGAAACAGGAGTGAATCTCTGTCACCGGGCCAGTCTGCCTGGAGAAGCAGAGACTGGAAGACGCTCTGGCAGCAAAGGCACTGGATCAAAGGCAAACTCTCAATTCATAGCTTTTTCATGTGGTCCACTTTGCAGAGTCAGCTCATTTGTTTCTCACTGAACATCAGAAGAGAGTCGTGGTGTTCATCATTACAGGGAGTTCGTCTGCCTCTTCTTCTTTTACTCCCCCCTCAGAGTAAGCCTGGATACTTCAGTTTGATGCTGCTTGAACTGTGGTGCAACAAGTCCACCCACTGATGCTGCTTCTCTACTTTTTTCTTTCCTATCATGTGTCTATTTAGAATATGATGGAAATACAAAAGCATTCACAAACTGTCCATCTGCCCAGGGTGTACCCTGCCTCTCGCCCAATGTCAGCTGGCATTGGCTCCAGCCCCCTGTGACCCTTGTTAGGAGAAGCGGTAAAGTTAATGGATGGATAATGGTCAAAAGCATTCACCCAGTTCACTGAAAATAGATAATTATTAGTCACGGAAAGGTACATTTTACTCAAGTACTGTAGCTTAAAGAATCTTGCATTCTACTATTAAGTGCACTATATTTTTCTTTTCTCTTGTTTTATACTTCTTCTCTACTATTACTGCTTTGTAACAATATTAGTGTTGGTCATTATGTCATGTACAGACAAGTGCCCAACCCACACAGGTTTGTAATACACCAAAAATAGAGGTGCAGTGTGAAACAGCATTTGTTATAACAGAACATGTCATACAAACAAATAAAAAATGTTGTCTCCTCTCCCAGAGTCTACAAATAAAAACTGTCAAAAAAAAGTTTCATCCTCCACAACACCTCTAGTACACACTTTATCATTTTTAGGCTTGTATTTTACAGAATTTTAGAGACAAATGTTTTGTCTGTATATATATCTCAGCCCTTTGACTGGTGACCTGTCAAGAGTGCACGTGGCTCTAGCCAAATGTGACCAGATAGACTTGTGCTATTTGTGACCCTGAGCAGGACAGATAATGGAAGGATGGGTGAGTGGATTAGAATAAATTATATACTACATCATTTACTTCACCTCAGCCAGCTACAGCATTAAAGAGCTGCTTATCAATTCATCAGTAATAGAAATCTTTTTATAAGGAATATATTATAGCACTCTAACATGGGCCTTTCATAATAATAATAACCACTTCTGCTCTTGATATTTAAGACCATTTCACTGATAATACCTAACCTTATTTACTTAAATAAGATTTTATTTGCACGACATTGACTAGTAATGGAGCGTTTTTCCTTTGCGGTAGTGCACATGAACTCTTCTTTCACCACTGGTCATTTTCTCCTGTTAGTGTAGCGTGGTTGGTTTGTTCTGTCCAGCAGCGACAGAGTCAATCTGGCAGTAGCTTGTAGTTATACAAGCAAAATAACTTACAAACTAAATGGCCCTGTTATTACCGAGGACAGTTATAGAGACGCTAATGATGGTGATCGTATCAGAAACTGAATTACTGACGCTCAGCCAAAACTCAAGAATTCGCATGCAAAGGCCAGAGGGACTGGACTGTGCTCAAGAGTAATGATCTGTTTCAAATTCATGTTTGGGTTTTCATAACTTTTGACTAAAAACTCTTCCAAGCAAACCCAGATACTAAAGATTCACTTTTATGCCTCTCTGTCTGCCTGTACAGCCTACAGGTCAAAGATGTACACAGCTTTATTGCTGGGATCAAATCAGCACAGTTTGGTGTGATTATTACTGTGCATATATTTTCACCTTTGCAATATTACAGAGGAGAGTACACATGCACGAAAATACACACAGGGTTGACGATAAAGTGAGCCTTTGGCAGTGGGCAGGCAGGCTAATGCCATCTGGTGCCCAGCATTCACACTGAGCAACAGTCAGCTCCACACCTGGGAGATCACACAGCCTGCAACTGTTGTCAGACCACCAACTGTATGTCCACCTGCCTCCTCCTTCTGATTCTGAGCTTCTAGATCTCTTACAGACTGCTGAGAAAAATTAATTTAAGCTAATTGAAAGCGAAACCCCACTCTGAGATGGTTTTACACATTTCATACATCAACAGTTTGTCATGTTCAGGGTCTTAGAGTTATTTTGTAACTACGTGTTTTTCAGCACAATATATCCCAGAATGCCTCTGTTTGCTTAATGTTTTCAGCTGTGTGAAAGTAAGAGTTGCTGCACTGAGGTTTCCAGTAAAAGTCACAACCTTTGAAACACAACACCGCTGCTTTAAGTGGGTGGACAAACAGTTACATCTTTTTCTACAGTAAACTTCTCTCCACACGATTGTTGAATGGCAAAAACTGTGAGTCAACAAAGAAGCAGTTGTTTCATTCTGGTGCCAAAATCTGACATTAATCACCAAAAATCTATTGCAGATGTGCTGGAACATACAGGAGCTATAACCTCTTGCAAAAAATTACCAACAGCTACTATTAAAACTGTGCTAAAAACAGATGCGTTTGGGCCACTCGGGGCCAACAAATGGAACTGTAACTACAACACTGACATTTTATCACCTTGTAAAGTTATGCTTGTGTCAGCAAAACTGTGCATTAACTTTAATTTGGAGTTTACATGTTTCTTTCTTACGTTCCTTTTCCTTGTACTTGAAAAAGACAAATTCACACTGATTAACATCAAAAATGTAAATGTATCAGAGTTAGCCAAAAGGCTAATTTTTATGTACAATAAAAATAAGCACAAAAAATAGATATAAATTACTACAAATCAAAGTGTAACTAAATATATACATTATAATACAAAAGTAAACACAGCACATAAGTCAATGTATAAGAGAAATTAAAAACCAGACCTCATTTTTGGGTTTTTATATTTATCTTCCTTAATCTCGATGTGTTTCTGGCAGTCTGATGGATGTTAAGTCCAATATTCAGTCTCATTTTAGTTCTATTTTCTCCTGGGGGAAATATCTGACTCTTTAGCTGTTAAACGGCTTGTGTTCACCAGCTGGTCAATAACTTAATCTGCCATTTGGTGTATACAATAGGTTTATCAGAGCCTTTTTCATTTGAAAGACCGGAGAGCAGTGAGAGTGAAGTGAAACAGTAAACCAAAACAATAAGCTCAAAGTCAGTGGATATTTCACAGTGGCAAAAAAAAAGGCATGGAGAGATTTCATTATTGGAACTTTTCCTTAAGTTCAGAATAATAATTACTGCATGCAGACTCATTTAATTTTTCCAAGTTGTATTTTTGTTAATATATTTTAAAATGAACACTGTTCTGAAACCAAACTTTAAGTGTCCACTCAAGGACACGCTGACATTCAGAATGTCACAGCTAGTGCTCATACGTTACATGAGCACACATCAAGCCAGGAGTTAAATACGGGAGAACTGTAACAGGCAAAAGACTTAAACTAGTCAAAGAATAAGCCATAAAGATAAGTTTTGAGTTTAGATTTAAAGCCCTCAGTCGAGTCAGACAGTCTGATGCCAACAGGGAGGTTAATCCAGAGAAGCAGGGTACGACAGGAAAAAGCCCCGAGGCCTGCTGCCTTCTTTTTAACTCTGGGAACAGACAGGAGCCCTGTATTCTAAGAGTGACGAGCATAAGGTTTAAGGAAATCAGGCTTGAAAACAAAAATGTCTTTCCCCTAAATGTGAATCATCATCTAATATTCCAAAACTACTTTCTTAAGTGAACTAAAACATTTCAGACCTATTCAGTAATTACTGTAGATAGTAAAACAGTAACCTAGCCTGACTTTATATGAACACCAAACAATGCGGATTGATTTTATAATAGTTAGTAACAAGCAGACAAGGATATTTTTTACTGCTGGAGGTGAATTTTAAGTTGCCTTGAATGAGTCTCTAATTGCTCTGGTAAAACACAGGCAGCTCTCTTACCCAGAGACAGAGAGAGGGAGGGAGAGAGGAAGAACGCAAGTGGAAGAGACAGCACTTACAGCATACAGAAAGAGGTAGAGAAAGAGTTTGAGTGGAGAGCGTGAAGAGGCTGAGTGTGACAGCACCGAATGAGAGGAGGAGGAGGAGGAGGAGGAGGGACAGAGTGGCAGGGACAAGGGAGGGTGAAACCGAGAGGGGGACGGACCGAGAGTGAGCGAGGGGAGGGAGCATCAGAAACTGCAAAGTATCAGAGAGGGAGAAGGAACAAGGGAAGCTGAGAGAGTCAAGAGAAGAGAAGGAAGCAAAAAGAAAAAAGAGCAACAAAAAGGAGGATAGCTCAGCTCACAGGCGCAGCGACCCAGGCTGAGAGGAGACGTTTAGCTCACCAGGCGGAAAAAAAAATACAAGAAATTGCATTTAAAGTTTTTTTTCATTGGGTAAAGAAATCAGAAGTCTCCCTGGAGAGGAAAAGGATCAAGAAGAAAGAGCAATCAGAGGAGCTTCTGCAGCCTCCGAGTGCCCTGCAGGGGAAGATGGATTCAGACTCTGGAGAGCAGAGTGACGGAGATCTCTCTCCAGGTAAGCCTCATTAAGCCCCAAGTCCATTACTGCGACAACAACATAAGTTTGTAACATGTTATGCTAACTAGACTAACCAAATACAATCTACATTGCAGTATATTCATTTATCCAGAGGGTCAGTAAGTTCTTTCTGCCTGTTTTCCAGCATGTTTTCAGTATTTCTATCAGATGCTGGGTTGTTTATCAGCCTCAACAGTTCTGCATTTTCAATTTTAATAACTGTTCCCATGTGATCCACAATCTTTAGTTCAGCCCTGAGATGTGTCAAAGCCGAGCTGCTGCTGTGAGCTCTGATGCGACTGGCAGAGGCTCAGTGTGAATGAAAGCTCAGGCTCAGTCACCAGCCAGGAGTAGGCAGGCTTCAACACGTGCAGCCAGTTAGTTCATCAACACATTCAGCTATAGACGGAGAACAGCATCCCTGAATCGCTAAAATTGGCTTCTTCTCTGACACACTCAGTGAGCAGGAAAATATTTAGACTCTCAGTTTACTGGACGTTCTGTGTGGTTGCTTCATAAAATGTTTTATGGTGTCAGAGTACAGGGCGATAATTCACTGAGGTGATGAGAGTTAAAGTTTAGTCTCTGTCATTGGATATTTTCCAGCACATGGGCAATTTATTGACCTGTGATTACGAGGAAAAACTGAAGCTAGGAAATAAAAACAGCCTTCCGGACATAAGTTTGAGTTCAAAGCTCAGGAGGTTTTTATAACACAGCCCTGCATAGTGCAACAGTCAAGCCTGTGCTGTATGTTTAGAACTGAAACTTTTCCTCTTTAGCTGTTCATGCACTTTATATAAAAATTCAGATTGATGCTTTAAATGGCTTTATCCACTATTTGAGAACCATATGTTTCCCTTTTTTTACACATATAGACTATGTCTGGCTGCTATTAGGGGATCAGGTGTCAAATGATGGACAAATAATTTACCCAGGCACGTTGTTGTTGTTGTTGTTGCTGATTGCCATGGCTGATTGCTTGTGTATTTGATGACATTGGTATGTTAATGATGCTCTGTTGAACTCTACCCATCTGTCTGTCCATCTGGCCCATTGTTTGCCTGTCTTTGGTCTGTTTGCAAAGGCAATAGAAGTTTAACATGATCTTAGTCTCAGACACATCCTCAGTAGGTGATGACACACAGCATCTGTATCATCTGCTGTCTCCTGGAAGTCTTCAAGTTTATAAAAAGGTTATGTGAAGCCTTTGTTGGTGCACCATGGCCGAGCCAGCCTCCAAAGATGAAGGCTTTATCCTTTTCACGTGCACACTGTTTTCCAGAGACTGTGGGCCAGATATAAATCATAGTCACACGTTTTATTTTTCTACTAATGCTGTGATATGCCAAGGCGTTCAGCAGTGTAAAGTCTTTGTAATGCAAGTCAAAGGAACTCTTGTCTTTTTGGCCTGAAAACAATGATACACATGTTGAAAAGAAAGGGCAATAAAAGAGCCGGGGCAGAATAATGCTTTTCCCAGTCAAGGAACAGCAAAAGCCTGACTCATACTCAAAATGCATCATGCTTTTGGCTACACTGTAGTTTCTACTATTCATTCTACTGCCACTGGAGAAAAAACGGTATGTATAAGGTCAAAAGCTCCAATGTCACCTGAGCAAATGTATTTTGAAAACAGGTTTTATTTTGAAAGCCTGGTGCACACAAACATGACCCCTTATTACTGGGTATGCAGGTGAGAAAGGTGTGATTGATCTACTCTTTGAACGAGTATTCTGGAGCAGTGTAAATATGAAGGCATTTGCTATTTTTGCCTAGTTCAACATTTTCTATAATGTGTTTAGTAAACCCCTAGACAACACACCTGTCCTTGGCCACAGGTTATTTTTGTTTTCAAGTGAAGCTGGTGAGGTCAAGTTTTCAACATAGGAAGCCAAGAAAACATCTTATGGCTGATGTTCAAGTGCTTTACTTCATGGGAACATTGCTGCTAGGTGAATGGCAATAGATAATTAAATAGAAAAGTATGTTCACACCCCCAAAGGAAACTGCTTTGGTCACCGTGCATGTACATTAAAACTGACAATAATGGTGAAAGATCATATGTGTTAAAGATCATAGGTGTTATACATTATGTTGTCATAGGGAAGTCAACAAAATTATTTTTAAGCAAAGTTAATGGGTTCCAATATTTCAAATACATGCCTCAAAAGCTTTTAGGTGACATCACATGACCTGTGTTTGTCTGGTTGCCTTACTTGTTAAAGATCATAGGTGTTATACATTACGTTGTCATAGGGAAGTCAAGAATGTAAGAATAAACAAAAAAATAGAAAATAATTGTTCCAGGGGTGACTTTCTAGTTGTTTTTTTGTTTGTTTGCTTGTTTTTTGTGACTGTTGTCACAGAATTGTGTTTTCTGTCTTGGCTCCACTGTTCCCTATTATTAAAACACAAAAACCAGCCACATTACACTCAGATCTGCTCTGCCATAACTACACTGAATGGCAAATCATTTAGACCTTGCACACACACACACACACACACAGATACAAGCTCCCATTTTTCCCATAATCATTCAGTCATCCAGTCATGCAATGAACAAGACCATACCAATACTCATAAAATGATTCATCCACAAGTCCTCTCCTTCCTTCCTGTGGTGGAGTAACAATGAGTGAGGCTCAATGTCAACACACCTGGAGGACTGCTGCTGTTGAAGGACAGTAAATAATCAGCCCATGGCCTAGCTTTACGACTCACTATAACACCCTATCCCAATCACCCATCAGCGGAGCTATTTCCAGACGTTTGTGTTTACTTCAGAATTTCTATGAAAAGCACACTTGTTGAAAGGAGAAGCTGTTTGTTGGTTGTAATAACAGCTGTGAAATTTATAGGGGCATGAAGGCTGGTGATGTGATTCTACTATAAACAGAAAAATGATGACACAACAAAAGTTTAAACTTCAGGCAATCTTCAGTATTGAAGATTCACATACAGACTCTACAGCTCTGTTGCCCTTGTTAACTGCCGCTAATCCACACTTCCACAAACACTTCAGAGATCTTTGAAAAGAAAAATCACTGCTGCATTAGACTTGGCCAGGAGCACACAGCAATCTGAGGATAGCGCCTATCTCGTTGCCGTGTTGGCAGTCTGGCCACATGCTTTACACATGACAGGCAGAGTGGGTCAGCCCTGCATACACAATAACTCCCATACACTGGCGAACACACACTCATATATACGGGCTGAAATATGTCCACACTTATCATGCTCATTCCCTTGGTCTTGTGCTCTCCCAACACATGCATCCCTGATATTCTTTTTCCCTCCGCCTTTAATCTGGCTCACAGATGGAGAATGCATAGTGCGCCACAGCCCTCTACACACACACACACACACACACACATATGAAACACCAGGAACTAGTTCTGGAAAATTGTAACATGAACAGAGAAAAAAGGAAAGCAGAAATGAGGCTTTAAGTGGAAAAGACGACTCAGGAGAAAGTAGTTTTTCCTCTAGCTAAAGCAAAAGACAAATCCTAAACTCCTGTGTGTGCTTGTGTGTTTGTGTGTGTGTGTGCTGAGACAATAATACGGTGGCATTTCATAGTGTTTGTGGGACATTTGGAGAGAGAATTGATACCCCACAACTGAGTCATTAGTGAACCGTGGAATTAGACCACAGAGGCATTTTGACAAGACCTCATAGACCCACACTCAGGAGGAGGAGAAGGTTGTGGTTTCACTGGAGGACCAGTCACTAGTGGCGCCTCGAGCTATTTGAAAGACTAGACTGGCATCAGTGAAGCACTGAGCCTGTACAGGTATCTAGATCTATGAATCCTGTACATAAGAGTTGTGATGCAGGCCAATTCATAATAGGAAACTCTGAAGGAATTTATGTGTTTCTTTTGGTAGCATTTGTGTGTTTAGCTGAAGTGTTTTCTTCATTAGGGCCAATGAAAAGGCTCATGTGTGTGTGAAAGCCACTGCAGTCTGGCTTTGTCGTACCTTTCTTCTTCTATAATGACCTTACCTTGTAGAATATATCATGAAGATGTTTCCAACCTATGATTTGCAGCAAAAAAAGCAACATAGTGTAAAACAAAGAGGAGTGGGAGGAAATTACCCACAGAGCTTTTCACACTTAACTCTGGCACAACTGAACTAACTGTGCTTAACATGATATATAATAACAGTCACTTTTAGCGTACCTTTAAAACTATTTGACTCTATGAGGTAGAAAGCAGCGGAAAAGACAGAAGTAGCAAATGTGGAAATTACTGTACATTTGCCGGTCAAGACACTTCATGGGTAATAAAAGTGATAGAGATAAACTAAAATTCCACACTTTGTTATCCTTAAACACTGGAATTTAAATGAACTCATAGAAGGACTGGTAGTGGAGAGGGTTAAGCTGAAAGAACAGTACAGTAGTCACTAAAACTCAGAAACAAATCTACAAATGTGTGGGTGTGGGTGTGTGTTTACGTGAGTGTGTGTGAACCACAGTTATTTCCTGGTCATTAGTTAGTGGTGGGTTGGCAGCCAAGAGAGAAGCAGCACTTTGGGCTCACATTAAAGAGTGCCATGCACAATGAGAGCCTTCAAGGCCAAAGCTCAAAGTATATCCAATTTTATCACTTCAGTCAAAGCATAACCTTTTAATTGAGGCAGCACAGACAGCTGAAACCCTGCCCTCTTTACTGGCTGACCTTTGTTGCTTAATATTTATAACTCCATGTTATTTTCTCAGTGAGAGTTTGTTTCATCTGCCTTCTTGAAAAGCAGTAACATCTACTAATGTACTGGCCATTAGAATTTTAACACCTTGTCATTTCAAAATAAAGTAACACCATATGATGCTTGCCATTCTGGCAGTATGTTTGTCTCACCCATGGGGCCTGTAGTTGTTCAATGCTAACCGCTGTCCAAAGGCACACCCAGGCTAGCTGCTGCTCCACTGCCTTCTGTAACTCAGTCTAATCTCTCAGCATTTCTTTCTTTGAAAATGTTAACACTGGG